CAAAACCGCTACCCATTAAAACAAAATAAAATTAAACTTTACTAATTTTTTAAACCTCCAACTTTGGTAAAAATTCTTTCCTCACAAATTTCCCCCCCCCCCCCCCCCCCCCCCCTTTTCTTTTTTAAAAAAGGGGGCGAGAACGAAGGGGGAGCGAGGAAGAGCCACACAACGAATAAGAAAGCAGGAACTTCTTTGAGACCGATTATATCCGTCGAGAATGAACCAATGATGGCCTGTAATACACTAAGTATTTCTTTATTGGTGATCGTCCTAGCAGGAACCTAAAGGACATATACTGGCAGGTCACAAGTAACCGCAAGGATTCCTGCTACATCTACACGACCATACCTGTCGCTGAAATTTTCACTAGCATGCCGTCCAACTGCAGCGCCTAGATTTAGTAACGCAGTAATCGTAGTAGCAATTTAGGCATATCGGCCGATACTATCGCCAAGACTAATCAGATAGAGAAAACATGAGAGTCGTGTAACCAAATATCATGATAAGGTCCCACCTCGGCAAGAAAGAATAGGCTAGTAAGAGCGTAGAAGACGGGCGTCAAATATCTGTTAGCTCGAGCTGATTTCTTTATTGCCCGACTGGATTAACCTGCCAGCATTAGTTGCATGACCAAGCATCCCGGAACGACTGCTATTACACCGGCATGTTGCCCGGAAAAAAGCCTCCGCACAAGGCACTGCGGACAACTCTCATAACAAACAGCCAACAGGAGCTATCAGGTGCTCAATCTTAACTCCGTCTGATATGCATTAATACCTAATCTTGACACGAAAAATTAGAATGAGAAAGGGGCGTTGATATTGGAATGTGGCCTTTGTGGGATTAGGTTTGGAGTCCTATCAGGGCCCGACACCTTTAGGGGTGGCGTCGTTATCGGGGATGCATATGTTGGAGTCTGCATCTAGGTACTTTGCATACACGGCTTTGATAATGTCATTCAGGTGGCGCCAGACGGAAGTAGACCACGTCAGCGGAGTCATCATCAGCCGCAGGTTCTATATCGTTGGCGGCCGCGGCCGCGACCACAGACAGGTGAGCGTGCGCAACACGACCTAGTCCCTCGACATCAAAGCGCCGGAAAAGGGGTGGAAAGTCCATGTCAAGATGCCCACTGGTCGTGGCGGACTTGCGCTCGGAGTTACCGGCGATTACATCGCCACTTTCGGAGGCGAAGACAACCCGACCCCACGTCAAACGGCGTGTTCAACGAGACGGAGGTCTACAGCGTCAAGGAAGACAGGTGGTTTAAGCAGCCGGCCATGCCGCATCCCAGGCACGGCACGGCGGCGGCCTCAGTGAACGGTCGCATCTACATCCCAGATGGCGTAATCGTCTTGGGCTCGGGACCTGTAGATATGTTTGATTCATTCGAACTGGTCCGCTAAATCTGCATTTAAGTTGTAGAATGAGCGAGACATGATCACAGTCTGTTTAGATATTAGCATAGATTTTCTTACTTATAAATATCTGTTATGCATATTGACTGACTCGATTAGAACTTAGCGACCTGGTCTATTCAACATCGCTTATATGGCTAGAGTTTGTCGGTGTTTCTACTTCATAGAAAACTATGAAGTAAGATCATAGTTGGGATTGTGACCTTTAAATTAGGTAGGTTTGTAGTGAACTTACAAAGTTGGCGGGTAGTGCAGATCAGGGATTCAGATATCCATTTTCACTTGATCCATTCTACCTTAGGTAGGTACCTACGTTAGATACCCGGTATATTTACTAGGCTAATTACCTCTTATTCGTTAAACTGAACTATCAATAAAAAAGGTATTTCCGTCCCAGCAAGCCTGAGAAAGTATGGTCAGTCTTATTAGCGAACTAGGCCGGGCCTAGAACAGCCCTGCTAGCAGTGAGACAATTGTCGACGCGGGGGTAAGCAAGCATCTGTCAACTAACACACTAGAGCGTCGTAGACATTAGCTGGCTTGGCGCTATCTCTCTATCCATACTAGTGTACGCGATGATAAGGTGACTTTCACGAACGACCTAGAGATGAGGATTTGGCAAATTTTATCGCCCTTTTTGCAGTGCCGAAGATCATTGATCGATCACTATTGACCATTGACCTTGCGGCGGCACCATGGAGAAGGGAGTCGGACAACAAGATGCGACCGCCGTTGCATCGCGGCTGGTCGACACGGGATTGGTCGGCGACAAGGACGTCGCGATTGCAATGGTTGGAGAGGAAAGGCATGCGGTTGATCCCGTTGTCGTCCGGCTTGCTGTTCGCAAGATAGACTGGTTTTTGATTCCAGCTATGACTGTTGGCTGTAAGTTCTGATCTTCTTACATATTTCACTTCTCATTAGCTTATAGCTGATCTTCACATTAAGATGGGCTCGTGTATTACGACAAGGTAGGTAGCATCATTATCATCATCATCATGCAGTTTGTATTCCATGGACTACTTGACATTATTTCAGTACTTACCTTCATACCTGTTTTAGGCTATCCTTGGATCTGCGGCCTTGTTTGGCATGACAGCAGACTTAAAGCTCAGCGTCCCAGATCCGCGGCACCCATCTACGGTTGACACGTCGCGGCTTAGCTGGGCAACGTCCATTTTCTATTTCGGCATGCTGGGCGGACTTTACCCCATGTCGTACGCTCTGCAGCGCTTCGAGACGGGACGTCTTCTCGGCGGTGTCGTTGTGCTGTGGTCCCTAATCTGCATGCTCACTGCGGCAGTGACCTCCCACCAGGGGCTATATGCGCAGCGCTTCTTCCTGGGCTTCATCGAAAGTGTTATCCCTACGGGCTTCATGTGCATCATTAGCGGGTTTTACACACAGCAAGAGCAATCCCTGCGGCAGAGCTGGTGGTTCTCCTCGACGGGGCTCTGGACGATCATAGGTGGCGCGCTTAATTATGGATTTGCCCAGATAACAGGGGGTGGTCTGCGACGTTGGCAGTATATCTACCTCCTGGCCGGATGCCTTACGTTTCTTTTCGGCCTATTCTGCTTTACCGTTCCGAGTTCGCCTGTATCGGCGTGGTTCTTAACTAAAGATGAGAGGTTCGCCGCTGTAGAAAGACTACGATACGGTCAGACTGGCGTTCGCTGCACCAAGTTCAAATGGCACCAACTAAGGGAGGCCGTGCTTGACATCAAGATCTGGCTAATAGCTATCATGATGGCCTCGGCTTATACCGTCAATGGCGCCGTTTCCGGCTTCGGTCCCTTGATTGTGTCAACGTTCGGTTGGAGCACCCTCGAGTCCATCGTCTTCCAATTCCCACTTGGAGGCTTATGTTTGATCGCAATTTTACTTACAGGCTGGCTTGGATCTCGTTACCCGAACATTCGCATATTGATGCTAATTGTATGTTGCCTTCCCGTCATAGCAGGGTGTGCTATTATCTGGAAGAGCCAGTGGACGTACCATGCTGCTGCGCCTGTGGTAGGTTATACGATTACAGGCACCTTTGGTGCCGTGGTGAGTTTGATTATTACCCTTGGGATGTCCAACGTCGCTGGACATACGAAAAAGAGCTTTACATCAGCAACTATCTTCGTAGCATATTGTGTTGGTATGAGCCCTTAACACCCCAACTCCCCATTCCAAGTATTTACATGGAACTTGATAGGAAACATCATCGGTCCGCAATTGATTAAGAGTCAGACCAAAGCATCTAACTACCCCGAGCTCTGGCTTGGGCTCATTATATGGTTCGTATGCGAATTATTTTATTGTCTCCTGCCTCCTGCCTCCTTCTCGAGTGTCTTCTAATTTGCCTGTCGCAGCTATTGTATTACAATCGCAGCTTCGATAACCCTCTTCATAGTTCTCAAATATGAAAACCACAAGAAAGAATCCGCAGTGGTGGAGGATGAAGCTGAGAGATCCAAGCTCGCATTTCAGGACCTTACTGACAAGGAAAACCCGTATTTCAGATATGTCATGTAGACTTGAAATGAAGATTAGATACGTGGGTAGCTGATGAGCAATATCAAACCTAATTGTGCGCATCACCTCCAACTCCTTCCACTAATATCAGGTACCTCAGATAGTTATTCCTATTAATTACCATCTCACCCAATTGATAGTCCTGCTGTTACTTGGTCGTCCGTGATGTTGACTTTGGTCGCGAGCCAAATATGCTTTTAAAGCGCGTGGAAAATTTGAATGCTTTCACCTCCCCTTCGGAAATAGAATCTGTGCTCATATGACTGCTTCTGCGGCGCTTTATAGCTTCACTAACTGATACCACATCGTGCAACATAGCCTCCTCCCGTGTTCCTATATATCGCAGTGCAGAGTTAAGTAGTGAGCACTAGCAATTGTTAATAAACGAGCGAAGTATTGCATACTGATGTTACCAGCGCCTCCTATTCCAAATGATCTACGGCGTTCATCTCCGGCCATTGCCAGTATACTTCAAGTTATATGGTTCGTCCCTTGGATAGGTGGATATGTCAAGAGGAAATACATATAAATGTTCTGTATAATCGGAAGTTGATGACGGACGTGTGAAAATGTTGGAATTGACACTTAGTACTAGGTTTCCCTTTTTATGGATAACGGAGAAAAGACCATTTATTGTATGTCGAGATGATGGCGTGCATTGATATTCTTAGTGGCATGATGTTCCCCCCTCGTGTCACTGGGAGACTTATTTCCCCCCTTGGAGATAACTCACTTGCTTTTCATTGGCTCCCCGCGGGTGACTCTGTGTTCGCATATCTAGAACAAGCACCGCATCGGGGTCTGATCTCGTCACATCCTAAAAAGCTTAAATAATTCCCGTGGTAATCGATCGACCATGGAGATAGGGGCGCGAAGCATTATTAGCTCTACGGCTCCCAAGGCCGCTAGATGGTGATTTCATCTGACGGCTTGGAGTTAGATTTTGCTGGCTTTCCCCAAGGGATCATCGTAGTCTCAAATCAGTTACAGGTATGTAACTATCAACCAATTGCCAATTAAATGATACTTGTATAAAAGCTGCCGGGGAGTGTAAAGTGGAAGTTTCTTAATTGGGACAATTGCATAAGGGAAGACATCCGTTTTTTTTGGTTTTTTTTTTTTCCTTAGAGACCTTGGTATCCGAGATGCCTGGATATATGGCCTTATTACTGGCTTCGATACTGTGTATGGTGTTTTCGCAGTTTGCGCGAAGTTAGGTGAGCTTGTTGGTGTAGAATGTAGAATATGAAATAGAGGTACCTATTAAAAGGTACCTGTTGTCTGGCCTAGCGTTGCGTCATAGACGTGGATACCTCATTCCGATCAATGATCAATGCACCGATATGTCGATATACCAATATCTCCCAATCTTAGCACTGTTAAATGCATGCGATACTTATCAGAATATCTTGATTCTTGACAACATGCAACATTAACATACAACATTCGGCTTTTGCGACTTGCCCAAAAGCCAATCTCAAGTCTCTACCATAACATAACCATGGCTATAAATGCGCCAACCCCTTTCTACTCTAGGATACCCGATATAAGATTGGAGGACTACCTCGATGATAAGCTTCAATCTAGTACCGACTTCGAAAACCTTGACAACTTACTAGCTAGTGTTGAAGTTCAACGCAACCAGCTCCAGGTACAGCTCGACAATGCTACCAGAGAGCTTGAAGATGCTCGTCGTGCGGCTGAGGACCACCAAGGAGGAATCGCCCGGTCGATCCGCGAATTTAATGCGCTTCAAGAGAGCATCGACGCCCGCCTGAAGATAGTCGCCGAGTCTAGCGCACCCGACGAAGCCATACGACGCCTCGAACAACCCATGAAGCAGATTCGGAAGGTCGAGCTCGCCCACCAATACGTGTCGCTGCTACAGGATGTCGAGAACCTTAGACATGAAGCCCGATCTCATCTTCCCCAAAGCCCCAAAGCCGCATTACAGCCTTACTCGAGACTCAAAGAGCTGAGTGTACGATTGAAGGAGCTACAGGGAGCCGCCGATCAAGCTGCTACGCATCTTGTAAGCTATGTGGAGGGAATCACGAAGAGCTTATGGGACGAGATGAAGAATACCATGTCTGAGGAATTAGAGAATGTTTTAAAGAAGCGCAATTGGCCTCAGGGAGTAGACACCGATGCCGAGATGGATGCTGAATGGTTACAGTGCTTTGAGAGGCTTATCGATCTGCAGGCACCTGAGGTGCTTCACTCTGATAAAGTAGTTTCGTTACTTCCTTTCGAGGTGATGGCGAAACCATTCATCCAGTGGTTCCGATTCCAGTTTATGGGCAATAATGCGACAAGTGGTCCTCAGTCGTTTGGGACTTTCTGCGTGCCTCAGTTCCTAGCATTAATAGATAAATGGGAGGGTTTCTTTCGAGACAACGTGGCCTATATCCTAGCATCTCGGTTTCAGGATAGCAGAGTACAGGGTCGATCAGTCTACATTGATCCTGCCTGCGCTTTAATCACGGTGTTGCTACCTGTGATGAGAGAGAAGATTAACACTCTAGTACAACATGGCCTTAAGAACCCACAGTATTTAAGCAGCCTCATGATACAGCTTATGGATCTTGACGACGAGATACGATCGAGGTACAATTACGACGGCGGCGATCTGGACCAAGGCTGGGCCGGTCTCACCTCGGAAGTGCTGGAAAAGCATTTTGAGGATTGGTTCAAGGCAGAGAAAGACTTTGCTTTAGAGCGGTACCAGGTCATTATGGACACCCCAGATTCTCGAAACATTGATTATGATTACAGCACTGCTGGTAAGATGAAGCCAACCTTTGGTGCTGTGAGAGTAACGGACTTGTTGAAATCTGTCACGTCTCAATACGAGCGAGTTCGAAGATTCTCCCACAAACTCCGATTCCTCATAGATATCCAGCTGGAAATCCTAGATGACTACCATGACCGCTTCAAAGATTCATTAGATGCATACTATACAATCACCTCAACCCTAGGTCGTACTCTTCATGGCGTGACTAAGGAGCAGGCTGCTGCCTTGGAAGGTACGGGTGCGTTTGAGACTCTCTGCAAAGTCTTGGGCAGCTCCGATCATATAATTGCTACTCTGAAGGATTGGAGTAACGAAGAGGTAATTCTTTTTTTTTTTTTTTCGTCAGAAATATCACATCGCCTTGGACCCGTCGCTGATTTTATAGTTTTTTGTATCCATGTGGGAGCAGCTCCAAGCTAGAGCTAAAAAAGCCAACGGCGACGGCAATATTGCTACGGGAATGAGCTATGAAAATGTAAAGGATAAAACCTCAGCAGATGTTGGCTCTGATGGTGATGGTGGCATATTATTTGACGAGACCATCGCGGCATACACTCGCCGCCGAAAAACTGCCGAGGAATATCTGGTCACAGCCCTTATCGACTCTCACCAGAAAGCATTTCGCCCGTACTTCGCTAAGGCCCAGTGGACTACGATTAGTGCTAATACACATTGTAAGCTCTACTCCTCGGAACCTATGAGAAATTTACATGCTGATGAATTCACAGTGGAAACTTCTCAGCTTTCTATAACTCCAGAGTTAGATGAACCCTTGAAGGTGCGTTTTCGCCGCCTAATATGAGTTTGCAATATTGTAGCTGACATTGTGACATTACTCTAGATACTGAAACGAAACCTTAATTTTCTGGCTTCCGTCCTGAGCGCTGCTGTATATCGTCGGGTATGGCGAGAAGCATTGGAGAAGCTACAGGATACGATATGGACAACTGTGCTCATGGCGCAGAGTTTTACGACGCTGGGTGCCGCCCAGTTCGCCAGGGATTTAGAAGCTATCGCCTCTCTTGTAGACCACAACATCCCCGATGGCTCCATTGCACTAGGTACGCTGCAGGATGGAGTGAAGCTGTTGAACTTGCCTCTCGAAGCCACAGACGGGGTTATATCCCTGCGACAAGCCAGCGACCGTGCCTTTACAGATAACGCCGAAGCCAAAAAGCTTTTGGCCGAACTAGATATAGAATCGCTCACACCCGCGAATGCCAGGAAGATCCTACAGAGGCGGGTCGAGAATAGCGAATAGATGAAAATTTACCTGCCTACTTTCTATAGGCCCCGAATCTAAATTCAATGTTCGCCCTTAATTCCGGTCCAAGTGCGAAATGTTAAATTGCTCCCAAATGCGATCTATCGTGATAATACCCCCCCTCCTTTTTACCTTGCGCATCTTTGGTTGAAACACAACGCCTTGTCAATACACATAATCTAAGTCTAGATCTTCATTATCCTCCCTGTTGATGTTTTTTCTATTCGAGTTCTCTTTTTCCTTTTTTTCTTTCTTCTTGTTTGCTCTTTCTAGCTAAGAGCACGCATCGTAGCCTCCACAACGGCAAAGGTCCCCGCGCTGACGGGCATAGCTCGCAAGAGCGTGGGGCCGATGCCCTTCCAGAAGCCGCGCATGCCCTCGGCCCTCCAGGTCTGCGCGAAGCAGTCGCGCATGGACTTGTAGCGGGCGTCGGGGCCGAAGCCGTCGGTCTGCATCTTGCTCTTGACGACGTCGAAGGGGTAGCTCGCGAGCCAGAGGGCCTCGCCGGCGAGGCCGCCGTACAGCGCGACCTTGTAGCTGGGGATCTCGGAGCGGGCGATGCGGTTGCGCGCCGCGTCCGCCGTCATCAGGTACTCGAACGTCAGGAACCAGGTGCCGTAGGCGGCGGCCTCGCGCCAGACGGTCACGGCCTCCCCGCGGTACAGGCCGCGCAGGACGCCGCCGCCGCGCGACGACAGCTGCCGCACGCAGTCGAGCGGGCCCGAGTAGAGGCGCGCGGCGCCGTGGGGTTGCGTCTGCAGGCGGATGCGCACGTGCTCGATGGGGCCCGAGATGACGGAGTTGGCGACGCCCGCGAAGGCGCCGGCCGCGAAGTACTGGCCGAAAGTCAAGTCCTTGGAGGAGGAGGCATTTTTAGCGTTTTGCCTCTCGAAGTAGCGTCGCGCATACCCAAAGGCACCGAATTGGATGGATACGCAGGCGCCGATACCCAGGAGTGGCGTTAGCGTGCCCTTGTAGAAGGCGAGGGGCCCCTCTTTGGCGTAGATGGAAGTGGCGGCGTCGAGGGCGGATTTGTATGCCGTGCTTGTTTGCAGCCGGACTTTGACGATGTCGAAGGGTTGGCCTAGGAGGGGGTTAGCGATAAGGTTGAGGGAGGTTAGATTTTTTTAAGTAAATGTTAATGTAGGTAGCTGTAGAGGAACATCTTAAGCCTCTTTCGCTTCATGAGTAACATAACTCTTAAAGTCATCCTAACTTTGATGCTGTTTCGAAATATCTAAATCTTACCTATGAGAACCTGTGCAACACCTCCAGCAGCTCCCGCAAGTAAATCCTTTGCCGTGTCAAGAGCGCCGCCTTTGGCATCGACGTCCTGTGCTGCGTCCGCCATCCCTCTGTCCCCCGCGCGCGCGATGGAATTAAAACCCCGGAGAAAAATATATGAAGTCGTTGACTTGCTTATATGTCTTATCTTATGTCTTTTCAAGAAATAAATGTAGGTAGGTACCTAAGGTATCAATTAACTTTTAAGGTTATTAAACCGGAGACAATTCGTGGCTGGTGATAATGTCGTTCAACCGTTAAATAGGTAACCTTCGCCGATATAGGAGACTGGGATAAAAATGAGATAAGGTAAACAACAACATGGCGGCTGAAGTTGAGAAGAGGTGAGATATGGAATTCATTATCATTCGTTTGTGGGGTGCCGAGACTATGAAAAGTTTTATCGATAGCGGAGGGTCAGACCTGTCAGGTAACACGGTAGGTACCCTAGCAGCCTAGGTACGCTTACATAGTAGAATATGGCGTAATCCAGAACGTTAATTGACTGCTCCGAAGCTAAGCGCAGTGCTTATTGAAGTCTACTTAAAGTAGGTGGTGCCTGGAGGTAGGTGACTTGACTTTTTTTTAGCCCAGGTCCAGCTCGTCCGGATTAGTAGGAAGGCTGTCTGTGCGCAACATTCTAGGCGTTTTGATTGGGTGCCCTGCTGATGAAGAAAGGTTTCATTGGATGCATCCCTAGTGTTTTTACCTTTTTACCGTGGGGACCCTTGTCATTCCCGACACGCACTGACCATTCCCATCAACGACTACTGGCCCAAAACAGCTACCTATATACCTTCAATTATACTCACCCTACGTTGGTAGTCACTGGAAAATACTGCGAATGGAAAGTTATTAAGGGAGAAATATTTGAAATATATTTTCATAATCTTAACAATTATATTTAACTAAGACGTACCTAAGGTTATTGCGCGGTGGAAGAAGTTACGTTATCAGGAGTCTCGCTTGAGCAATTGAGATTCCTTGGGAACAAAGGAATTCTATTATATAACTTTGACTTTGAAGCTATCGTAGTTAGAGTTCCTCACGGAACAACGAAATTTTTACCCTACCTCATGCTCTGCGACGTTATGTGACGTGACATTTGTTTTTAATATGTATGTAGACCTTATGTAAACAATTATCATACAAGGATCACCAGATATATACGAACTGGTAAAGGGTTTCCCCAAAGTAAAAACTTTAGAAAGGATCTTCCGTACGGAGAGGCGTAATCCAGCGGGCGCTCGATGTATATCGTAGCTCGAGGATCCGTACATAAACCTTTCGAGCCGTGGCCAAAGGGTGCCAAGTGAAAGTTCGGGCTGTTGCGATATCCCCAAGGTGGCCTCATGTATAAAAGAAAGTAAACGCTGAAAATGAAAAAGATAAGGAACAACTAGAATTAACCTTTCGTATTTTCCCAGCCTGTTTTTGACCGGTCGAGTTAACGAAACCATGTAAGTGAACTACCAAACTTACCTCGCTGTGTCATGAGGTGAAGTTGAATACCAAAAGTATAACCTCCTATCCCAGCTAGAAACTCCAACCTACGTAGTGGTGGATATTACGATCGTACGTATTTCAATATACTCTAAGTAGGTGCGCTTCGCCACATCGAGGTATCTGTTCTACACTCCTACAAATATACCTAAAGTATTCATCGTATTAGATATAAGGTTATGGAAGTACCTGGGACCGCTAGGAAGTGGAAGCCTTGGCCTCGATGGAATTACCTTTCGAAAGCCGATAATTTGTACCCAGTACTGAAATCTTATGACAGGTACCTAGGTACCTAGAGAGTATACCAATACTGAGCTTGCCTACGGACGATCCGGGGCGGCGACTTCCAACGTAGACCGGACCTACCTAGGTATTCATGAAGGTTAGAGTTACCCTCTGGCACTTTCTTAACCGTATCTAGATGGTTGGGTATTCTAAAATAATAGTAGACAATTCATAGTTGCAAGTTATCGCCTACCTACCTAGTCATAATGAATTCGCCTATAAATATTTGCCCTCCCCGATGATATTGTCCATCGCTCTCCTCGAAGCATTCCTGACAACAACCTGCTACTCCTTTCTCTTGAGCTTCAATCTCGATATTCATCAACGACTATATCATTTCATACACATAATCCATCAAGCCGACTCTTTAGCAAAATACACACTGCTTACTTCTACCCAGACCTTCAACTCAACATGACGAAGAAGGGTTATATTTTGAAGTTCTGCGTCAGCGGAAGTAGCCGGTTCTTTCCTTCCACAAGCCCGATCGGAGTAGCCGTCGCCTGTCTGATCAATCATGAAGGGGGGGGCATCTAAAACCTACGCAGAGCCCATGAACATTACAGATAATCCGGCCAACAGTTATAGGGCCACTTTATCTGCCATTATATTGGCACTTTATAAAGTACTTGAGCTCCATAAAGAGCTCAAGATACGTTCCCAGTTGAATGTGTCCATTGCTACGGACTCGCTATCCGCTCAGCATTGCATGATACATTCAATCAACTGCTATTCCGCCAACTGCTGGAGGAACAACCGAGGTGAACCTGTTGCAAATTGGGATCTTCTAGCAAGAATCGTCGAGCTAGAAGTTGGTGTCAAGTCTCTTGGACGCCTAACATACAATTATATCCCAGAGCAGTTCAACACGGTCGCCAGACGCGCTTCCAGCAAGGCGCTAGACGAATATTACCTTAATGCCTCAAGGGTATCAATATCAAGTCTTACCCAGCCGATATCGCGGGGATCAATGTTCGAGGAGGAGGAGGACTACGACGACGACGAGGAAGACGAGGAAGACGAGGGAGACGAGGGAGAGTGTCACGGTACTGTCCTTATAAGTGAAGATGGTATCATCAACCCATTGAGTTAACATCGATCTACCTTTTGGTAGTGTAGCGATTTGATGGCTATCTTCGGACTCCGTCTCTTGCTCGTTGTAAGAGTTCGGAAGATAGCTATCAAATCGCTACACTACCAAATGGTAGATTAATGCCTGTCAGCAGTCTCACTTGAGACTCCTTGAAACAAAGGAATTATTCTATATATAGCTTTGGCTTCAAAGCAACTATAGATAGAGTTCCTTGCGGAACAACGAAGTTGTTTTTACCTACCTCATGCTCTGCGACGTGACAATGCCAACTCGAGGGGTTGACGATGCTATCTTCACCTATAAGCACAGTACCGTGACACATGTACATATACCTTGTAGGATTAGATGGTTAAGCTATCACAAATAGAAACGAAGATACTATGGATAATCCAATATGCCCTTTAAAGCCCCGGTGACCTCGAGCGCTTCCTTCATGGCTCGTAGATGACGTTGTCGGCGTAGGAGGAGCGTCTGTATTTGTAGCTTCTGGAAGTGGCGTCGAAGTGTGAGTTGTAGACGGAGAACTGGAACTCACAAGTTCCGATGAGATAGACGTGCTCCGCGTTCCCGATGTCGTAGTGGTGGTTGTTGTTACTTCCGAAGAACTTGTCTCCTCAATAGACGACGTGCTCGGGCCACTTGAGGATGATGGGGTAATTTTACTAGATTCTGTCGTAGAACTAGACGACGGCGACGGCGTACTAGCGTCGCCTAACATCGATTTGACCCATTCTGCAGCTGCGTCGGAGTACACGTCGAAATAATTCAAGTGATGCTCAACGTTATACGCTCGTTTACCATCGCCCTGCGCGCAAATCGGATCATCCCCTTGACACCAGTCTCGGAGTACTCCTGCGAAGTTGTGGAGGCCTTCAAGTTGCGCGCCGCCCCGGGGAAATAACCCGTTGAACGGGGCGCCCTCCAGCGTGTTATACGGCTGTTTCGCAGTGTGGCGTGTATCGCCAAAAAGAAGGGCAGCAGCAAGTACACATCGAGTTATCGCGTTAGAAAAAAAAAGATTCTCCTCCCTACGGTGTTCCGTACACGAGATACATAAATACGAGATGGTTAGGGGATCCAAACTTACCGGCACGCCCGGGAGCTGAATCCGGATCTAAACCCGGGGTAGTAGGCGTCGTGCAGCCCTGGAAGAAAACACCGCCGCCGCCACCGAGGATATCGCCCAGAACATGCGCGCCCTGGGAGTAACCGCTGACGACGAGCTTCGCGCGCGGACACCTCTTGTTATACGCGGTTATCTGCTCGACACCAGCTTTCCGGCCTTCCTCCACGGCGCCGCAATACTCGACCTCGAGGGCGTTGTTGAACGCGACGTCCTCGTAGTCGCAGCTCTCGAGCCCCGCGCAGATGGCCTGGACGAGCTTCCCCTGGCGCCCCGGGTACGGCTCGTTGTTGCCGCGCGACAGGAAGATGTGGACGTCGGTGCACGCGTCCGCGCCCGTCTCCTGCGCTAAAGCGACCGCCGCCGCCGATAATATTAGCAAAGCCCGGCGTCGAAGATCCGGCATGGCGAAGACAGAGGCTTGCGAAGTACCTGGTATTATTACCTAGACCGCGCGATTGCGACTAGAACCAGCGGTCTTAGATACGTTTTTATTTTATTTTATGAAACCGGGGGGGGGGGGGGGTGAAAATCATCGCCTTTTTGAATTGTTTACCTTGCTCGGATTAGGAGGATCCTAGCCAGGTTAGCAGGAGTAACCAATAGCGTGTTGGTGCTGGCGGACCAAGCGATAAGGTGACATCAATATATTCGAACTTGTATTCAACTCCATCAGCTACTATATACCTCTACCTCGCGGTGTCTGAAATAAATACGCCTGTTTAAATATCGAGTTATTAACATGTCTCCATCTACAAGGTATGCCTTAAGTCTCATCCAATTAAATGAAAGGTAGCTGGGAGGTGCATATGTGAGAAACAGTAAGGAGGATATTCGGCTCGGTTATAGTCTAATACTAAAGCAGGGGTCGACAAAGGAATAGTAAACAGGCCTAAGACGACCAGTATTCTTCATCTACCTAGACATCGGTCTTTCCTATCCACTTCCGTTTCTATGTCTCTTATTGGTAACTTATTCCATAGAGACTTAATTTGCATAACTTCCACTAGTCAAAATGAACTGTATTCTCTCACTTTAATTTCCATCCGCTCCATACATACTACCTGGTAGGTAACTTCATTCGCAATGTCTACGGGTGCGGCCTTGAACCCTGGAGCATTACCAGCAGGTATTGAATGACCCCCTAAGGCTGGCCTGAAGGATAAGTACTTACCTATCTACAAGCCATTACCTCAACTCTCGGGACTATAAACCCGGATGATCTAACTGGAGATATACTTACCATTAAGGTTTAAAGCTGTCGTAGGCGCTTTGGATGATGACTTGCTCAACAGTAACGTCAAAATGTTGGTGTAGGGGCTGGGAATATAGCTATTAAACTAGAACACCTACTACCAAAAGGTCGAACGATGCTAACTCGAGGGGTTGACTTGTTATCTCCACCTAGGTATAAGGACAGTACCGTGGCAAGTTGTGAGATGCCATGTGCTTGCTAGATAGGTTAGTATATTACGTCTATATCTCATTATATTTCATTAACCATCATCTATAAAGCTATCTAATCTAAAGGCTTTGCAGACTCCTTGCCAGCTCACTAAGAACGAAGTAGCAGAATATTTACTATATTATGTGATATAGTTTCATCTCACTGTCGCTATATCGACAGCTACCTAAAAATCCTACTTCATTGAAAACGTCGAAGAGGTGAACTAGCAAGTTGAAAACTATACCTGGTAAATGGGAACTCGGAATGCAAACATGTCGTCTAAATCACCGGAATTGGAATCCAAATATACGGTGGGTGTTAGTAGGTACGTACGTATGATATAAAGCAATAAACAAGTAAATCAAATAACAATGGGGGTGAGACTAGTATATTGATAATGTCTAGGGAAAGAAGAATCTATTTGAGGCTAGTTAGCAGTGTGATGTCCTTTTATACAGTAATAGTGGGTACACTGTTCTTTCCTCCAATATTAGCAATAAGGCACTTTATCCCCGATAAGGTGCTTACGCGTTGATGTTATACAACCACTACTTACTTTATTTTCTTTTTGCAATTGATTAATTGCGAAGTTAATTATATAATGGAAAAGAATTTTATAAAAAAAAAAAAAAAAAAAAAAACCTTATAATAGCGCGTGCTTACGTTGGTCCGAATATATATTAATATATATATATAGATTAATTTGCATATAATTTAAAATATATTTATAATAATATATATTTGTACTAATATGTTATACACTTTTATAATAAGTTAAAGTTAAAAATGTAATAGCTTAAATTAAAAGCTATTCCACATATTAAGCCGTATTAATTTATGTTATATTATTATATATTTAAGTTAATTAATAAATTCTTATATAATATCCTTTATTATAGTTAATATTTATATTTAACTGTAATAATTTATTATTATAATAATATATAATTGTTTTTAAGCTTTTTATATTTTACTTATTTTTTTAAACATAAATTAATTTAATTATTTTTTATTAATAATTTTATAATTTTATTTAATAATATTTTAATTATAATATTAGTTAGGTTATATATATTATAAATTTAATAAATATTATTTATTTTTCAATTTTTATAAAATTGTTATAAAGTTATTAAATTAATTATTAATTTTTTTATTAGTGTTTTTTATTTATATTAAATATTAATATAAAGAAAAAAAATCGGTATATAAAATAAAAAAAGCTTTTAAAATTAATAATTAATTTAAAATAATATTAATAAAGTAATAAATAATAAAATTTATATTAAAATTTTATATT